ACGGACGATTGGGTCTTAGGAGATGAAAGGAAGGGGGCTATTGAATTTCTAATAACTAGCTGATGCTTGAATAGAGTATATTTGAATACATCTTAATACTACGCCTGAACGACGATCATTTATATTCTTTTCTCTCCAGGGGCTTCAGTTTGCACAGAAAAGAAAAAATATTACATTTTTGTCTTCATAATTCTTTACCATTAAATGTCATTAAGGGACTTCCTTAACACGAGAACGATGAAAGAAGGACAAGCCTAAATGTTAAATGAATTTCTACGTAATTTCGTAAGTGAATTGTCTCTTCCTGTCTCGAGACATCAACAACGACGCCATTTTTTATTCACCTACTTTAAAAGAATCTCAAAAATAAAAGATATTTTTCTTTATCTCAGTTCAAAACCTCTCTGTAGATTTACGACTAGTGTCCATAACCAATCTGTCGATAGTTTTCATTTTCTAGAGATACAATTTTGTATGGAGCTAATGTCAAAATTGTTACCAACTATTTTCTAAGACTAGCTGTTCCCAAACAAACGTTTTACACCATGACGCGACGCGTCAATCGATTTGTAAGCAGTGCCTCTATTATTTCCAACTTAAAAAATCCATTAACAAAAATGGCGAATCTAATTTGGTCCTAATGTTTACATTTACAGATCTAACGACATTTTAATCGGTGAATTATGCATTAAAACCTTCAAAACTTGCTGATATTTCTAAAGTATCTACTAAAAACAATTTCCATTATTTCAATACTTGTCACAAATAGTTAGATATGACATAAAATTCAATAAAGGTTAATTAAAACCGAATCTGTAAACATTTTGACTTAAAATAACAACGATTTACATGACAATGGAGTTTTGGTGTACTGTATTCAAATTACACATTGAAATCAAATATATTTTTGATTTAAAACTTATATAGTTAGGTAAGTTGCACGATTGATGCAACAATATCGACTTGAAAAAAAATCGTAAGCAATATGGCCGCTCGACCAAGGACTTTCTTTTCTAACTTAACATATGCTGTGTTACTCAAGAAACATCCGTGGATGGGAGACCAGTAATCATATCTTGATACCCATCCCAGTTGCTTAATACTACTAATAAACCTTCATAATTACAACTTATAAGAATCCGTTGTCTAGCAATACTAAAATTGTACGAGAAATAAAACATGAGTGGTCCTTAGGACACCATAACATTTTATTAATTTATTAATTAATCATCATTTTTGAAAATTACTCTGGTTTCAAATCGTAAACGATAAAAAATCTTTACATGCCTTTTTCTGAAAAACTTAACATTTCCCTCGATTCGGATCAAAGGACCAAAGAAATATAATTATGGTCCTTTTTGCGTTTAATTTGTAAGGGTATTAATGTCAGTCTATGAAAAAAGAATTTAATTAAAATGTTTTATGGAATTGTTCAAAGGATTCGGTGTAGGCCGGGCCAGACTAAGTTGACATTTATTGGAATTCTTACACGATTTGAACGGAAATCCTTTGGAAATATAGGAGAAATATTTGTGGAGCTTTAGTATTGCTGTTGACCTGTTGTTTAGCAAACAAATGTGGAAAGTGATAAATACTCTAATTGATAGTTTTTATGAAAAATGTTTTCAAATTATGATTAAAATAATTCTGGCGTATTAAAGTTAGTAGTGTAGTAATGTCGTGGTGGCACGGAGGTTTAAGAGGAATCAAATAACGGATTAGTCATCATAAGTACATAACATCACGCCTTTTTATCCCTGAAGGGGTAGGCAGAGGTGCGTTGCATTACGGCAACGCCACTGTATATACAATGTAACACCCACTTTACACAATTTATGTTATGAGTCCAGTGTAATAGGGGGTCATTATAAGTTTGAAACAAAATTATCTAGCTAATTCAGTAAGAGGAAGTGTGTGTGACTCTTACTGACTAAAAACCACTCCAATCCTACTCCTGCTTTAAGGGCTAGCGCGTCACGGTGACGTTCTGTAACGTGGACACTTGCTTTGGCTTAGTGATAATACAGCTCTTCTGACAGTAACAATGAGTCCTGTATAATAAGGGGTGACCCAACTGCCTCGTTAGTAGGTACTTTCCTATTAAGCAGAACTAATCTTAACGACTGCTTCGTTGGCCGAGTGGTCGCAAGTGCGACTGCCGGGCAAGGGGTCTCGGGTTCGATTCCCGGGTCGGACAAAGCATTACTGGGTTTTTTAAAATCTCAGTAATAACACGGAGTCTGGAAATATGCCCGGTATATAGGCAATAGGCTCACGCCCTATTACATGGGACTCATAACATAAATAGTGAAAAGTGGGTGTTACATTGTACAGTGGCATTAAGTGCCGAAATGTGCACCTCTGCCTACCCCTTCGGGGATTTTTTTTTAAGGGAGGAAAGTAACCACCCCGTTCCTTCTCCTGCACGTCGGACCGGAGCCCCGGTTACCCGTTCGGGGATAAAAAGGCGGTTGTGTTATGTAATCTAAACAATAAGTTATGTAATCTAAACAATAAGTTCTTAAAGAATAGTTCCAATTTGAATCCCCCATTATCCATTGCGGCTTTTGAATGTAATTACTATAGTACTTCATAGTGCAAATTATACATCACCATATTGGATGCTTTCTTTCATCATATTGGTCCTTTAGAAGAAACAATGTGTCATAAAATTATCCTTATGAGTTCAGACAATTATTTTTATAGGCCTCTGTTTGTTCTGACGTCAGGGCATCGAATGATTAGTTATATTAGTTATTATATGTATAATGATATTAGCTATAAGTAGATTATGTGATAAAATAAAACTTCCGAATCGATTTCGATGATAGTTGCAAGTCTACATGGGACTCATAATTTAAATTGTGAAAAATGGCTGTTACATTGTACAGTTGCATTAAGTGCCGTAATGTACACCTCTGCCTACCTCTTCGGGAATAAAAGGCGTGATGTTATGTTACTATGGCAAGTCTAACTAGGCCAGCCTAGAAGATATTATAGTGGACAAGTGTGTGCAAACACAGGTGCACTCTCCCCTCACTCTTTGAACCCTATGTGATGGTAGACCACGGAATAATCAAGGAGACACACTTAATACCTGCCAACGTGATACCAGCGGTGAGTGATAATATCCGCAAAGTGGCTGGCAGTGGTTGGATGAAGGAGCTGAAGAAAGAGGTCTGTTATGTGCTGTTGAAGAGGGCTATATCAGCATATATGTATATATGTAGCATATATGTATATATGTAGCATATATAGCAGTGGACTGAAATGGACTGATGATGATGAATGCCTCGTTGGCCGAGTGGTCGCAAGTGTGACTGCCAGGCAAAGGATCTCGGGTTCGATTCCCGGGTCGGGCAAAGTACTACTGGGGTTTTAAAATCTCAGTAGTAGCACGGAGTCTGGAATTCTGGCCGGTATATGGCAATAGGCTCACTCCCTATTACATGGGACTCATAACATAAATAGTGAAAGTGGGTGTTACATTGTACAGTCTCTGCCCTACCCATTCGGGGATAAAAGATGTGATGTTATTATGTTATGTTACTTTTGACTGAGAAAATTTGTTAATAGTTTGGGGAGAAGGGTACAATGCTAAATGGCAGGGAGATGATGATGTACCATAAATATTTTAATTTCAAAAGAGTTAAACAGATCTATATCACTACCCAAATACATTAAAAGCTATTTTATATATATCACTAACTTTAAACCAGCTAACATATTCCTAACTACATTACATAATTTTGAATCAATTTATAATTAATATGGACATTCTGACCGCAACTATATATATAATCTATATTTCCTGAATGGTATAACCTTTCCCGAGGTGGCCTGAGTGAACAGGTTGCTCATTGAATGACGAGCTCCATCGTAGACCGCATCATTGCTTACCACCAAGTGACCACTATCTTGCCATTTCAAACATCGGTCCATCAAATATAAAAATTAGCACCAATAATAATAATACCTTCAATGACTGTAATGTACAAACCAAGTATCATTATTAATTTGAAGATTTTGTTTTAATTGAAGGACATTGAACAAGAGATGGACACAGTCTCTTGAAACAACAACTGTGGCACCCGGTTACTATAGACTTACACGCAGAACATACACACATTGACACGAAAGACATCTCTCATTCTCTAAAAGAACTCAATTGTGAATAATTCATAATATCATTTTAAATTAACTAAAAATCGCAGGTTGCTCACAGCAGCAGCAGCGTGCGCAATCGCCGCGAACGCGCACGCTGCTCATGAGGAAGAACCCCTCTGTGGTTTGAAACTAGTAGAGCTTTTCTCAGTATATTCACGTGAGTAATCTGCGATTTTTAGTTAATTTAGTATGTCTCACGATAGTTACTACAAACAGATATCATTTTTTTGAAATTGTAAACTTGGGTAACAATCATTGAAATAAAATTATGATAATTAACTCGTCGAGTACCGGTTTTATAGACACAATTAAAGAACAATAGGTCGCGGTCACCGGTGACCGCTTGGTGTTTGACAGTTTAAGTATGTAAAATTCCATAGAATAGGTAGTTATTTTGTTAAATTCGAAAATAATTAATACATCTAAAAAATATTAGTTATCTACATTGAAAATCTACAAAAACAATTATCTACTTAGATATGTATTCAAATTTAGAATTTTTATGAATTATGTTCAGTTTGTTATCTTTGTAAATTCTACATAAAATCGAAAATATTCCATTTTTAACATGCCTATTTGAATTTTAAATTTATTTTAATTCCTGGTTTATTTCATTAACACAGTGCTATAAATGTGTAAAAAAAATGTATAACAGTTAAACAAGAAGTTCAACCTTTGCTTTTCTATTTTAGATTTCAAATTAGGTAATTAAATAAAAATATTATATAGGCACAACTAGCACATTAAGTTCCAAGATCAAATACTTATGACGACTTTAAGCGCGTTTAGATTTATATGCGACATTGTATTATTAAATTAAAAATAGTACTTACAGTACTTCAGCACTCTGTTTCAACTCTTCCGTCTTAAAAACACGATTGTCAAACAACTCTGGACCATTTTTCCTGCATGAATAATACTTTTCTATACATGCTTTGGTCTTATCCATGTCCCCATAACAAGCATTATAGAATAACACTAATTGTTTATCGGTCAAATCCTTCGGCACATATTTTGATTTATCCAACTTCTGCGACCAATAACGCAGCTCATTGATATCGTCCTGGGAAAATTTATCCATTGCTGCCGTCGCCTCATTATAATCAAACTCCAAATCCACCAACATGTTTTCGCTTTTTATCTATTTTCGTCGTAAATCGTGAAGGAATTTGTTTATGTTCAACATACACCCAACCCTGAACACGATAAATTGACAACTAATGATGAAAAAATTAAACAATTAAAAAATGATAGGACCAAAGCAGTGTTGCCAAGTCATAAAGAAATATTTCTACCAAAAATTTATCTATTCCATTCAAAGGTTGTATAAAGACTTTTCTAGGGTTTTAGAGACCACCTAGATTTTGTAGCTTTAATTGAGATATGAGATTAAACTGGTTAAGTATAAGAGTGAAGATAAATACGTTGAAAATATGGAATCCGCTTCCTCATCGTATGTGTAAATGATAGTTTTTTATGTCAACTATTGTCGCATGTCGAAAAGAACTAAACTTTTACTTAATTTTTACAGAGAAACTAACCTTGTGATTGTTACTAAAAAAGACAAATTCAAATTGTTTTGCAAAACGTATTGGAGGACAATGGTCGTACTTATCGCTCCTGTAATTTTATCACCAGTTTTATTTATTCAGAGAAATAATGTAAGTGCCTATATTACCTTGCATTGCTTACTCTATTTTTGTCGATTACTAGCAAAATAATCGTGTACTGGAATGGAATCGGCGACTCATTACTATTAGTACGAGAGATGACGACCAAAATTTTTGTCTCATAGCAATACGGCCAAAACCGCCTCAAATCGATAGATACGATTATCCTGAACTCGAAAATACCAATATCAAACATTTTTCGCGTAGCGTTTGATCTGACCACAAAAACACCTGACAAAAAAAATGTCTCATAGCAATACGTCTGAAAACCTTTTTTATTAGTAAATTTTGGTTACTTGATGCGAACAAAACAATTTTCAGACGGAAATGTGAACGCATTAAATATTGAGACCGTTTTGAAAATGTTAACAAATTTTACCAATCGGTATCATGGCAATATGTCTGAAAATTGTTGGATAAAATAAGTTGTCCACATGTGCAAAAAATTTATATCAGACAAAATAAGTGTAGCACCTTCTCTAGATTCTCTCAGATCTCTGTATATTTTTGACACAGCAGAAATGACCTCTCACGCAGTTGCTACACTTTCGACCGTTACTACACACCTAGTCGGGTTCAGAATCATACAATCTAACGATTATATAGGGTTTTTGCCGTATGGCTATGAGTCATGGTTTTGGTCGTCATCTCTCGTACTATATGGAGCTGGTCACGCAGCCACTGCGACAAATGTTCGGTTCATCTATTTCAGATTTACAGTTAAGCATTTACGCTAAAACATGGAAGTATTTACACAATAAATTATTTATGCATGGCGCACCACAAGACACCTTATTCATCCAACAACCCTTAACTGCCCAGTGCCCTTTTAAGTCCAGTACAGTAATTCTACCAGTACAGTAATTCTAGATCTTTATAATCACGTTCTGTTTATTCTAGGCATACAAAAGTTTCTACGTATTACTGCTTATGATTGTGTACTGGACACTCGACGTGCTGCATCCTTGCGTATTGGCCATCATGCCTATCGGTATTTCATGCGTCATGAGCGGAGTTGGCAAGAGTTTTATTAGTGAGGTAATTAGATAGTATCTATTCATAGCGTAAAACTTAATAAATAACCTATTGATTAAGTTTTACGCTTTCAGATGTATATTCGAAACGATCTGTTGGACTGTATTGGAGTGATGATGATCATTATAGCTATAGAGTACAGTATGGTGCACAGGAGAATTGCTATCAAAGTCTTGCTAGTGTTCGGATGTTCACATTATAGGTAAGTCAAATCTCTCAAGATGTATCGCCAAACTTAAGAAACAAGGATATAAATATAAATAAGTAGTTACACCGGTAGAGGAAAGAGGCCAGCCCACAGTTCCAAGAAAATCCATCAATCAATCAATGCCATTTTGCTCAACCCAAAGAAAAACAACCAAACTTAATTTATTTTTATGTCTTAATAAGCTAGGAAGCTGGAGTTACTAATTTTTTACCAACACAAGGGTTACTAATTTTTTACCAAGCGGACGAACACCCAGCAAAGTTTAAACTGTTTAAATATTTAGTTTTTAGTATGGTCAGCTGAACAAAAAATTTACACTTTGTAAAAACGCCTTCGTTCTTACAAAGTGTAAATTTTTTGTTAGTCTTCGAATTATCTGGGTTAATTAAAATCCTGAATACAACTACCTAGTTTAATTCTTGTTTCAGATTAAGCTTCCTTCTCTTCTTTACAAGCATGTTTCTATCGATGTGGATCTCCAATATTCTTGCTTGTGGTCTGATGATGCCAGTCGTCAAGGCCATCCTCATGGAGCTAGAGAAGGTAAGTAAAATTTCCATGAAAGGTCTTAAAATTTCCACATTACCTTCAAGCTCTACACTTATTTATTTTCTGACAAAACCTAATTTACATTATATTTTTTGTTGATTCATTTTAGATGGGAATTGTAGAACTGTATCAAACCATTGGAAAGGCAACTCAAAAATCTAATAGACATGAACAAAAGTAAGTGACTAGCCACTTTTCTTGAACAAATTTTTTTGCACTTCACGTTTGAAGTCTTGTGTCAAATTAAAACCTGATTACAGCGTGCCAAGGCCGTCGAATTTCACAATATTTTATTTTCTTGGACTTGCCTATTCGTCTTCCATTGGTGAGTAAAAATAAAGTGATTCTTGTAATTAGGTAGGTAATGAAATATTAAGTATTACATCATCATTGTTCATTAGTCGATCTTATAAATAATTGAATTGGACTACTTTTTTTATTTGTAAACTAGGCTTCGATATACAGAAACTTTACAGAAGACTCTTTTTAAAAAAAACTGTGTAGATACTGTACAGATAATAATTCCATGCTGGGTACTTAATTATTGTTTTATATTAGGTGACATGGCGACTATGATGGGTAGTCAGACCAATCAAATATTTAAGATTTACTGTGAAACGTAAGTTATTGTTAATAAATTATTTAAAATAAATTAACATTAGATTTATTTTAAAAAAAACTGTATTTATTTTTTAAAGCATATTTCCACTTGGACCAAAGATAGAGTTCCCTCACTTCATGTTGCTAAATCTACCCGGAGTACTGGTCATGGAAACGCTTCTGTATATGTGGATGAACTTCACTTTTTTGGGAATGTTCAGGTAAATTACGAATACAACCAGACTATACTTCAAGGGCAAAAAGTATTGAAATATAGGTAAGAAACTTTCTTCATCTTTTGAGAACTTATATATACATGAATTGCTGCCTAAAACCTAATCAAGAACATTGGAAAAAGGAAATAATCTCTTGAAATAACGCCTGGCACCTGGCTACTATAGACTAACACGCAGAATACACATAAAATGACACGAAGGATATCTGTCGCGTGACTGGCCCGTTATTGCACTTCACTCTATATGTACGTACATTACGGTATTGCAAGTACACGGCCACACACGCAATAAATACACCACTGACATTTTGATGTTTCAGTTATTTGTAAGTGACGATACGTCCGCCTTATTTTTAATTTATTTATTAAATTTTCAGTAGGTAGTTTTTTAGTTTTCTGTTATGATAGCCCTGGTTCATTTTTTAAATTTTCATTTATTTATTGTCAAAGTGACAGTTTGATTATGATAATGAGACTGTCTTGATGACAGTGACATATAACAGTTAAAAAAAGTTATTGTGTTGTGATAATTTGTAAGGCATTATTAAAATTATCAATTAAAACGATAATGGATCCCTTAATGAAATCTCGCCAAAGAGCAGAAAATTGGACAAAAGATGAAAAGGTTAGTTTCATTTAGAAAAAAATATATTATTATTTTTTTGTTATGCTAATATTATTGTTTAAAAATCCTTTTGCAGAATATTCTTTTTTCTATTATGCGCGAGTCGGCTCCTATTATTGAGAGTAAGAAATCAGATAGGGAAACAAATCTTAAAAAGGGGATAGAGTGGCTGAAAGTCCAAAAAAGGTAAGAAATATAAATATGTAAATAAAATTAACCACTTTATGTATGTAAACACAAAACTCGAAAACGACTGCACCCAATTAGATTCTTTACTGTATGATATCAGTATAGCTGCTAAAGTTTTTGAAATTAATATATTCATCACTGGTTTGATTGAATTATTTGTCAATTGTAGTAAACTACAATTTTATTTGCCATTCCAGATTTGCAGAACTAACAGGCAAAAGCAGAGATGTGGGTCAAATAAAAAGGTTTTGGATAAGATTAAAATGTACAGCCGCACACCATAAAAAAGTAGTAAGGTCTAAAGAACCTCTGACATCTTCAACTAAAACGAAACCCGCTAGAGAGTTACGTCCAAATATCAAACACATTCGTTTGGTTTTTAAGAAAAAGGAAATTAAAATTGATAGTAATGCTGTGGTATGAATTATTTTGTTATTAATATTGAAAAGGTTATTTCCATATTATTAATTTGTTTAGTAGTTACTGATTCTGTTAACCAAAAAATGTCCACTTCAATGCCTAACTCCACCTAAGTCACACTTAATTATTTTTGCTAAAAATCCATAGGGTAGTTTCCTAAATTTTATTTTAATGCAACATAATACGAGAAAATTAAAAAATACGTGTCTAATATTTTTTCATTATCTAACTGACGGACTAGTTAGATTTTTAATTTTGTAACTCTGGAAACTACCCAATTATAGATACCGAATAATTCAAATATTTTTAACCATGATCTCTTTATTATTCTTACAGGCCTTACAGCAATCACAAACACCATTCCAAGTAGAGAAAAATGAAACTGAAACAGCCAATCAGATGCTCCCACAAGAAAACACAGAACCACCAATAGATTTTAATCTAGCAAATATTGAACATAATGTTGACCAACCACATTCAGTCCTGTTAAAATGTAAACCAATCACAGAGCTAGTAGCCGACAGATTTGTTAATTTTGAACCTGAAACTACGATAAATGAAGATATAGATAAGAGTAATATGGAAAGTTATAATTCAATAATGAATGAAGATGAATTCTATTACTTTGGTCTGAGTGTAGCCGCACAACTTAGATCTATGCCTCTAACGAATGCTCTAGATTTGCAGTCAAAAGTTCAAACTCTTATATCAAATGAAAGACGGTTGCAGCTTAGTTTAAATACCAACTAAGCATATTTTAAGTGACAAAATTTTAAAAAAGAAATAGAGTTATTCTAGTAGATTTTTTTATTGTATACTGTTAATTTTTAGACAGTTATCTCCTTCATATCCAACCAATTTTAACTTTCACAAATTATTATTCTTATTTGAGCAATACTTCCATAATTAAAAAATATTTGCAACTGTCATAGACATGTTTTTTAAATAATTTTATATAGCAAATAGGTACTCCTTTTAATAATATATAAATTTAGTATGTAATATTGTATTCATAATATCTATATATAACTAGCAAACTCGGCGAACTCCGTTTCGCCATCAGATGGCTGCGTTTTATGTGGGTAAGATTTCGTTTGATGATTATAAGATGAAGAAATTCTTTTCCTGAATTTTCTTTGCTATAAACCTCACGGAGCTCGAGACCTTTCCAACGATTGCAAAACCGTGGAAATCGGTTCGTGCGTTCTGGAGTTATAGCGTCAGGAAGGAAAACCTGACTTATTTTTACATAGTAGATATGTATAATATAATAACTAATGATAAGAATAAATACTACCTTTATGAACAATTTTGTTTTCTTTTACTACATATGTACCTAACTGAAGCGGCTACGATGATCGCACGGCACCAAGTGTTTGTGTAGAAGGTGTAATCCACAAATTGTTATTTGTAAACGCATCCATGACACAGGCGAAATTCCTAGTGTAGTTCAACAGTTTAAAAAAGAACTGAAAACAATAAAGTTTTCTGTTAAAAATATGAAATGAAGGAATAAAACAATATTTTATGTAATGTAATATGAATTTCAGAGGTCGAAGCGATGTAGAGGTCGGCCTGACGGAGGAGGAAGCTCAGTACATTGACACGCTGCTAGCCACTCAATACCAACAGCTAGGAAAAGTAAAGTTCCATGAAATTGTTAGTATTATTATCGTTACAGATTATGTAGCATAGAATCAGAATTTAAAATACCCACAATGAGGTAGACCCAATGCAAAAGTGAGACATGAATGTACTAACTCGACTAGAGCACTGCTTTAAGGTTGACTGGGAGACAATGCCCAAGGCATTAAGTTCACCTGTACACATTTGTTGTATAAAGTTTAAAAATAAATAAATAAATAGAGTGATACCACGACGTCACAGAAAACCGGCGTGAAACAACGCCTGCGTTATGCTTTAGGTACCATTTTAGTGACGTTACCGGAGGTCTAATACCCCCACTTGTTCCTAAAAGGTCAACAACGCATTTGTAATAAGTAGGTACATGTAGTGTTGCGGAGGCCTATGGACGGCAGCGGTAATAGAGTAGTTGCCATTCCGTCGGTTAGATAATTAAAAAATATTAGACACATAACATCACGCATTTTATCCCCGAAGGGGTGCAGAGGTGCCACTAAAATGTAACACCCACTTTTCACTATTTATGTTATGAGTCCCATGTAATAGGGGGTGAGCCTATTGCCATATACCGGGCTTAATTCCAGTATAAAAAACCCAGAAACCCTTAATTCCAGTATAATACTTTGCCCGACCCGGGAATCGAACCCAAGCCCTTGCCGGGCAGTCGCACTTCCGACCACTCGGCCAACGAGGCAAGTTAAGGGAAGTCGTTACGTCAAACTTTAGTTTTCATCATCAGTTTCAAATGAAATGAATATATCGTCGGAAGGATGTAATTTTGTGATAAATGAAAATATATATGTCTAATGTTTTAAAATAATCTACCGGAAAAACATTAAAATAAAATTTAGGCAACTACCCTAATGCCTACCATCAGGTGATCAGTATGCTCGTTTGCCTCCCTACCTCTATAAAAAAATGTTGTAAAGTCTTCACGACGTGAACTTGCAGCAATAAGATGTAAGTTATAAGTAGAAATTGTAATTTAATTAAGTTTTTCGTTTATCAATAAATAATAAGTGCATATTTACTCTCCACCCAGGCAGTATCGACCATCGCAGTACTGACAGCGGTGTTGCAAGCTACAATCAGCACTGCCCATATCGACCAGACAACGAACGGAAGTCCGGACTTTCATAAGTAGGTACAGATTCTAATTACCTATGTACCTACGTAACATCACGCCGTTCATTGCCCAAAGATTCAAGGCAGAATCACTATTGTCGGAATAAGTACTGAAACGCTACTCAATTTTAAGTCGTGCTTAAGTATAGTTCTATCTCTACAAATTCTTTGTAAAATGACAGAGATGGCACGATATTTGAGCACGATTTAAAATTAAGTAACGTTTCAGTATTCCGGCATATCTCCTTTAAAATTGAATACCCACTGGAAAACAGCGCAATTTAAACTTTTACGTGGTCCGCAATGCATCTTTGATAATTACTTAGGTACTTCTGGTGTTGCTGGTACAATAGCCATCGGTTGTCTCATATCATCAGCTACTAATTTCATAATTTTCCCAAGCCTAAAGGGATAGGTGACTTATTTCTGCTACTTACCTGTCTTATTTTTTTGCAGACACTTCAGAGTATCATCACCATGTGCGCTGTGTGTTATCCTGTTGTTTGTGACGCCTATTAACTTGGATTTTCTCAGATATTTCAAGACACAGTCAGGTATGGGTAACATCATCAATTTAGATAAATTAGCTAAATCAATAATGGATATTTAGGTACCTCCATATTTCTAGAAATGTCTTTACAACGTCATCATCATCAGCACGTTTTCCCACTAGATATGAGAATTGGGCCCTATGACGATACTTAACGGAAGATCATGTCTTTTCCCTTGCTTCATAACTACAGTAGCTAATTAGCTAATCGGAAATTATTGAGCAGTTAAACATTGACCCAAAACAATTACCAAAAACAACGAATTAATAAATGATAAATTTGCACTGAATCAAACGAATTATTCATACCTCGTCTATCTATCATTCTACTTGAATGGGCTCAGTTCAGATCCCTACAACTATTACCTATAACCGATTGTCTATATTTAGATGAGAACACTAAGCCATTGCCGATCTCTCAAACCAAATCATGCCTGAGTTGGGACCTGGTGCGAAGAAATATTCACTGGAGCATACCTTTGATTATAGGTAGATATAAAGAGATAATTAATTAGGGACTTACCCATAAATGATGTAGCGGAGAACCTAACAAGTTACCTGGGCTCCGACTCGAAGCGCAGGAGAAGGAACGGGGTGGTTGTTAGTCAGTAAGAGTCTGACACTCCCTCTCGCCTCACCCAGGCGGGAGCAGAAAATAGATGATTTTCCCCCGTTAAAAAAAACCATAAATGATGCCTACCTACATCTTTTATTAATAAAGCAATAGCGTACATATACAGGTGCCTTATACACCGTGAAGTCCATTTCGTTTACGTCCCGCAGCAAAACAACTTCCCAAAAATACTATCAATGTATAAATAAAAAAAATTAAGATCAAAAAATAAGGATGTATTTTTTTTGGTTTAAAAAGAAATGTCACGGAAATACACACATGAAATACTTAACGTACCTAAATTTGTAGGCACTATTTGCATCGCACGTGCCACTCGATGACAAATACCTCTTCGAGAATTACATGGCGTGTTGTTTTGATATTTCGGACTATGATGGGTTCATGTGCGCTTTCGTAGTTTGCTTTTTGCAATGATTCATCAGTTATTATTTGTTTTAAACATTTTATTTCTTTGTCAAACTATTGTATTACTAAGACAGAACCATTTTACTTCGGGACGAAAACGAAACAGAGAAAATGAGAACCGGAGTAGACCTCCTGATTTCACATTGTAAAAAGTCATACACGAGCGAATTTTCAGAAATACAAAATCTTAGTCTAACTTTGTCCGATTGAATCGAACCCTTTTGTTGGCATTTGTGCTTACCACCACTGGACAATAGAGGCAGTTCTATCTAACATCCTAGAGATATAAACCAATTTTCTTATTATTCTCTCACAAAATTCCCAGCCGGCAGCAGCACTCTATTAGAGTCACTCAGAGACTCCGAAATGATACTAGAGTTTGAGAAATTCTTCCTGATCTTCGAGAGCTGGCCGGCATCAGCTCTAGTCTTCATCGTCGTGATCTTCTGCAAGATTCTTACTGAGTTCGCGTCTAATTTCTGTGTGGTCTATGCTCTACTGCCAAGCATCGCTAAAGTGGTGAGTAGAATAATGTCAAAAGGTTTCTACCGTTTCCAGAAATAAATAAGTTATAATAGATTAGTAGACATGTACTTATCTACCATTTAATATCGATTCTTCTGCCTATCTCCAATTTGTCACCTTACCAGTACCTACACTTCGCACGGAGAAACAGAATCTTTGATCGTCCCTAGATACACGCAGAGATAATACAATCAGATGATGGAGATAAGGCTATATAATATGTTATCAGTTAGTCATCGAGTCAGCGTCACTCACACAAAGACACAAACAAGATACGAAAGACGAAATGATAATTTTCAATTCTTTTCATGATCAGTAACCCCAGTTGAACAAACGACCATAAATTTTAAGAGCTCAACTTTGAGCAAATGTACACCTAATTTGTAAGACTTCTAAGATCTACAATTTCGAGGTGTCAAGTAAAGTCCGGTTGCCTTCCTGTCTTAAGTAATGAGGAAGATACTAGAAAAAGAACGAGTCTTAAATGATTACATTACTATCTATTTAAGAAGAAGCCTCTTCTCAAATGGATAGCATTATTTGAAGTCGCCGTAATCTGCTTTAATTTTTGTTAACTGTATTACAATATAATAAAGTTGAGATTCTCCGTATCCAGAGCGTACTCTGCGACGTGAACCCTCACTATCTGATGATGGCGTCGACTCTGGCCAGCTGTCTGCCCTTCCACCTGGTCACCGGCGCGCCTGTCAACGCCATGGTCAGCGCTTACGTTAACATTCCACCTTGGACAATGGTTAGTTTCCTAACCTCACTACATAGAATGCTAAAATTTCTGACCAACTTCAACAAGGTAAACAAAGTTCTGGATATAGTTTAATAGTCGGACTTCTTGGATCCAATAAAGGACATTAAAAGGATGCCATCATGCATCTAACAACTCTAAACGACAACTGCTAATCTATCAAAAACAATAAATAATTAATGGTATTTTCTTAAGGGGGGAAAATCATCGAATGACTTATCCCATCTTTAGGTACTTTATGGTCTTAGATGAATGATTGGTTTCGTTCCGATCATTCATCTAAGTTATGGTATTTACATCTCAGAGTTTTTTTTTATGGGATAAGCCGGTAAACGATCAGACGGATCACCTGATGGTTAGCAATCGGTGTCGCCCATGGACACCTGGAACACCAGAGGCGTTACAAGTGCGTTACCGGCCTTTTGGGATAACAATTTGAGGATTGTTGGGATTCAAGAATTGGGGGAAAAAGGGGGGTAATTGGGCCTTCGGTAACCTCACTCACACGACGAAACACAACGCAAGCGTTGATTCACGTCGGTCTTCTGTGAGACCGTGGTATCACTCCGGTTGAGGCGGCCCATTCATGCCAAAGCATGGCTCTCCCACACTTAGTTCTTGCTTTCATAACAGCGACTGATATAATAGTCTCGCCTCCCCTAATACCGGTCTATATACCGCAGTGGACTTCCTATGGCTAAAGAAATGACTCGTATAACATGTAAAAATATATTTTACACCTTTTTTCCAGATGTACGCGGGCCTCGGTCCATCAGTAATCGCGGTGGTGGTGATCTGGTTCACAGTGGCGGTGTGGTCCACTGCGATCTGGACGGACATCACCCTCAACCCGGAGTGGGCACACGCTAACATTTTCAGATTATTGAGAAAAGGACATTAGAAATAAGATAGTTATAGTTTGTTGCGGTGAAAACTTAGACTTACTTTTGTGTTAAAGTAAATGATACCTTAGTTGTCTAACTTTAAGATTGCGTATTCTATATTGCCCAAATAAGTCTCTGAATACATTTTGTCTACATAAACTATTTATAAAGGTACTGTTACTGGCACATAATAATATGCTTGTTCATATTTCGTTTTATTTTAATTAATTACATTATAAAGCAGTCATCGCTGCAGATCGAGACAGAATCGATAATAGCATGCTAATATGCAAACCTGTTCAGACGTTGCCGGAGCACGTCTCCCCCTACCCGCCCCTCAGGGAGCATGCTCGAAAATCGAACGTCGTTTGATTTTTGAGCACGCTCTAAATACGCATGCTCATTACATTACACTTGTGCCACTTATGAGCACTTGCTCAATAAAAGCATGCTTTCGTGCTAGTAATGAGCACGTCTGTCAGTACCTTAAAATGCGTTCTTTTGAGCATGCTCAAAAATGTACCAAAATCGAACGCCTGTCGATTCGCAAACATGCCTGAAATGAGCATACTAATTCTGAGCAACATTCCTACACACATGCTACTATGTGACTAGTGCTCAATTGAAGCATGCGGTCGTGTTTAATTTTAGCATGTGTTACAGTACCCTAAATGGTGCAAGGTCGATGTCACCTAAACATTGTTTTGTTTGAAGCATAGTCTTGTCTAAGGACAAGAAAACCGCAAAAGAAATAAAAGATAATTAATATATTTGCAACATATTTATTCAACAACACATTCCTTCGAACCACTATTTACAAAATGAGCGCATTACGTACATTTATATTTGTTTATATACTATATAGTATACATAAGGCCATGACAACATATAGGTATATAACTACTATAATTATCATGTACCTTAGGCATCAGTTTTGGTCTGTATTAGACAAAATGTGTGCTAAAATGGGTTTAAATAAAATTTGTGACAATATAAAAATCACAACCAACTTATAAAGAATAATTTGAAGTTTCTACAAAAAGTTTTCATAAAGAAAATTAAAATATAAAGTGGTAACATGCATTTTATAGTCAAAAGATTGTTTATTATATATTGAATCTTGCATAGTGATGTGTAATAATAGGTTTTCAACGTATTAAGAAATCATCGGTTATATTGTACAACTTACTCACGTAGCTGTTCGGGATAACTCGACGAGTTTCAAGCCACGCCAAGGACCCTTAATACAGTATAACAGTACAGTACTGATACTGAGTAAGCCGTATAACATAGTTGATTTAAAATAGATCCCCAGAGTTACAAAAGACAATATTACGGTGAGTAACTATTTGTATTTAATATAAGTATACAGACGCTATCGCAAAATCCTCTAATGCAGGAAAAATCTCGTCTAAAATGCTTAAGTTATAGAATTATCTTCAGGCTATTTCACATCAAAAATATTTATTACAAATTCAGTTATAGATGAACACTTCCATTTAAAAAGTCAATTATAATAATAATTAACAAACAGAGTATTTCTTCTTCCACATTTTGGCCATGATTAAGACGATATAAAAATTCCCCGTTAAAAATGTCAAAGAAAAAATATTAAAAACTTTAAAGGCAGATAAGAAAAAATAAATCTTAAATTAATGTACGTAATAAACATTCACACAGCTTACATAAAGACATTTTTCTCTAATATATAATAATAATTATTCTAATTTGCACTTGAACACACACTTACATAGAAATGCATCACAATTATTTTGTTATATTGTTAACAAATAAGCACTTTGTTCTTATGGACTTTTAAGGCACCTATGCTGTTTTTTAGCCTTTTTAACGCCATATTGTCATACCTGACAACCGAATTATAAGTCACAAATTAGTACAAAATAAAACTACCTAATTCATTATTGTTTTTGAGCTCATTTTTGCTTAGTTTCCGTCTATATTTAATTGGATGTGGTAAAACTAATTATATTTCAAAATTGAGAGACTAAAGGAAGCCATTAATTATTTCGTTTCACAAAGTATTCTTAGGCCTTAGTAAGAGATTCTTTTTCGTTTAAAGTAATCGAAACGGGACGGCGTCCGGCGCTCTGATTGGTTGGTTCATTGGAGCCGGCCAATCACAACGCAGAACGCGTACTCGTTACGATTGACGAAGAATCTCGTACTAACGCCTCTTCTCTATAAGAATTTACATTTTGGAAGGAATATATAACGTCACTATTGAATCAACAGACGGACAATTAAGTTTTTACGATACAAAATGTATGTAGAAATTAAAATAAAATTCGTTGCATTTAGTGACTTAAGTAATTTCAGAGTTAACTTAACATGTTTATATTCTGGTGTTAAAAAGGCTAAGGGAGCTTTCATAGTGGAATATTTTACAATAAAAATAAATAATTATTCTCCCAGCCAAGGTTTTATTCAGTCCAGATATCACACAAACAAACTTACACACACACGCACACGTCACAATATATTACATTATAACTAGGAACATCCCTACATCTGGTTTTTTAAATATATTTATTATATACCTTCACATACACGTTTTATATATTATTATAAAATATATTTTGCAACTATCACACTCTTTTGGTAAAATAGTGTTAGAAGAACTGCTTTATATAAGGCTGTATTTAATTTAAATTGTTGAGATTCTTAAAAACTTTGTATAAAACATGAGATTCTAAGTCCGTAGTATTAAGGTTGATTTTTTAATAACCCGATGTAAATTGGAAGTTACAAAATTTACAACATATTTGACAACGAGCATTTAGGCTTACAGCGCTTTAAATCTACAAAAAAGCCACCTGGTGATTATAAAAACCTTATTTGGTAATTAAAAAATCAGCCCTTGATCACTTTAAAACTCACTACATATTATAAAATGTAGCTTCAAAAACATCAATATATAATTGAAAATCAAATATCCATCAATTTTTTATACAACTTGCCAATCAAATATCGCCTTTATAACATAGACTGTTAACTCTTAAAATCCTAAAGCAGTTCTTTATAAATACGGGAGTGTGAAAGTCATTTCTATATAATCCTCACCCGCTTTATTCCGTTATATAATATATAATATAACTTACATATAATCATATATTACATCTAAGCATATTATTGTCCCAGTAAGTTGGTCTGTATAGGCACTAGGTTTTGGCCAAATTACCATATATATTAGGATTTAAAATTGGACATAATATATAAATTTAAGGACTGCACGGTTGGCGCGGTGGTTGGGCAAGTGGCTGCCGCGTAACGTGTCGCGGTTTCGATTCCCGCACGGAACAACTCTTTGTGTGGTCCAGAGATTGTTGTTCGTGTATGTGAACTAGTATGTTTGTAAACGCACCCACGACACAGGAGATAATCCAAGTATGGGGCAATGTTCAAAAAACATTTTAAAGAGCAAAATAGACCTGGTTTTGAAATCTACCAACGGCAAGTACCAATATGACTTTTTCCGAGTTATATGTACTGTCTAAGATTAATTACACGGTGAATGAAAACGTCGTGAAGAAACCAAGGCTTATAATTTCTAATTATAAGTTTGAAATCGCCAAGCAAATTGAGCAAGCGTGGTGATTCAAGCTTAAACCTTCTCTGTGCGAAAAGAGGCCTCTGGTCAGCAGTGGCTACTTATAGATAGTTGATCTTGATATTATTGTAAAAAATAACCTAATGATCTTACAAACTGCAGGCGATATGCAACCTTATGTGATCAAAAATTAAATTGATTTAACTATGTCATTGTTTATAAATATTATGTCCAATTTTAAGTATATATTTGTATGTTATATTTTATGTATATATTTTGGCAATGCACATAGTCGGTGGAGCGACTGTCATACTCCACATACATACATAAATGCTGTATTAATAAATTATCATATAAAAATGCTTTTATACTGTAGAAAATACGAAAATATGTTATTATTACTTATTCACAAAGCCGCTAAACAATGGTGTAGTGTAAATAGCACCTTTTTGTAGCAAGCTTAAGGCCGAATTTTAATAATTCAATTTTTATCAATCAATCTTTATGCGATTGCAAGAAAAATACAAAATAAATTCCACCATCAATAATTTTAAGTACCAAATGAGAATCAAAACTTAGCGACTTCGTCCTTCCACGGATTTAAATACCATTAGGTTGGCAACATTGAATAACGCACAGATAATAAAGGCCAACAGACCACAGAGATACGGCCTTTAAAATAATTATCTATTCCACATTGAGATTGCATAACATAACATAGAGGGGTAGACAATGGTGCACAATGCATTTGTTTTAATTTAACGAGATCAATTGAGACCGCGTTCGGCACTGATTGGCAGTCTCCAATGAACCGACCAATCAGAGCCCCTGAGCCCTCTGTTATGTTACAAGTCCCATATACGAGATTGCATTACAAAAATAAAACTTATTTTACTTCAAAAAAATGGTACACAATGGCACATACCTGTACATATTTCAGATATTTCTTGATCTATGGAAATGCTAGCATATAGCTTTAACCCATCACATGTAAACCGTAAAATTAGTTAATTTAATTTAACTTTTTAAAGGGAGATAGTTACAAGTGACGGAGCCTGTCATGTTGAGGCTTGGGAGGTTGGGTAAGGAACAATTGAAGTTTGTTAGAGTTTGTATGGCATTGTATGAAGTGTTGCAGGCTAGGGTGACGTTATTAGCTAGGGCTGTGGTCGCGTTTTGTACTGGAGCGGTTGAAAGTGTAAGGGCTGGGAAGATCACTGCTCCCCATGTTGGGTAGGCGCCCCATACGATGAGCGTTGTTATGATCTTCGGGCCTATGCCGCCGACGGCCTGGAAAATAAAGATTACATTGGTATTTTAAGTTTTACTATGAAATCATGACTACAAATGCGAGTTCCTTAAGACTGAAGAATATAGTAAAATGAAATAATTAAAATTAGTTAAATGAAGAATAACTATGGTCATATAAGACCATAGTTCGTTCTTTAGAACGAAGCAAAACTCTTCTTTCTTTCTTTAGGCTTTAAGAATATTTTTCTTTAGGTAAAAAGACATGAATTCTTACTAATATTATAAATTGGAAAGTGAGTTTGTTTGTTTGTTCCGCTTTCACGCCGTAACTACTAAACCGATTGCTTTGATTTTTTGCAGACGTAAAGTTAAAGTCTGGATTAAATAATAGGGTACTTTTTATCCCGGAAAAATTTGATATTCTAGAGGGAAAACGAAATTAATTGGTATAGATGGCGCTGTGTGTATTGGTATATGTCACATAGGCTACTTTTTATCCTTTTGTGACGCGAGCGAAGCCGCGGGTAAAAGCTAGTTATTAATAAAGGATGTAAGTAAATAATCATGTTTGACTGTCTATCTATAGCGCTGTGTCGTTGAGACACCTAGAATGGAACTTATTTTAATCAAATAATTTTTCACTATGTTTATTTTTCTTGCAAATAATTTAATTTAGAAACTGTACTCACCATCTTAGAGGTAGGTATATGTGCGACTCCAGCGACAATGGCGTTGGGTGGAGTTCCTACTGGCATGTGGAAGGCCATGGAACACGCCAATGTCGCAGGGACCATCAGGTAACGAGGGTCGATGTTGAGGACGCGAGCCTGGGGAGAGAAGAGTTGTTATTTAGACGCTATTATGAATGAATCAATGGAATTTTATTGTTTAATTTTTTTGGTGTATGTATTTTGTTGCTTGTTCTTTTCTATACAAATGTATGAAACTATTATATAAATTGGTAATTTGTTTTTTTGTTTGTTTGTTTGAACGCGCTAATCTACGTAACTACAAGTCTGATTACAATAATTCTTTTTGTGTTGGATAGCGCATTTATCGAGGATGGCTATAGACTATAAAACATCACGCTACGACCGATAGGAGCTGTGCAGAGCGTGTGAAACCGCGCGGAAATAGCTAGTGTATGAAATAAAACTTAGGGACCTGATGATCTGTAACTCAGCCACTCCATGCCTATCACAGACCCCAGAACCAGCACTTTACATTGTTATGGAATAAAATAAACGGTTGATTACTGTTTTTGATGTTTCGAAAATGTTTTTAATAATATTATTATTGTTTATTTAGAAATAGAAGACTATATAAGAATGGAGGTATTTTTTTAAGGGGGGGAAATCATCGAATGACTGCTCCCGCCTGGATGAGGCGGGAGGGAGTGTCAGACTCTTACTGCCTAAAAACCACCTCGTTCCTTCTCCTGCACGTCGAGCCGGAGCCCCGGTAACCCGTTAGGGAAGAATGTAGGTATAGACTTTTTATTCTGTAGTTCTAAAACTAATGGACTCTTTAGTCCACCAGGTATGATACTATGTTAAACTCGTTGAACTTTTAAGCATTACACGCAGTACACCCACGTACTAAAATTTACTGATATTAGACCAACGGCTACTGGCTGTTAGGCTCGGAATTTTCAAGTCAAAAACTTTAAACTTTCCAAAAAACCAACATTTATGAGTTTATTAAAAAAATTCCAAACACACTTACCATATTAGCCAGTACAGGCAGTATAAGATTAGCAATAGCGACATTGGAGGTGAACTCAGTGATGAACTGTGTGACCAACACGACGACCAGTAGTACCACGGCGTGGTTCAGTCCGTGCAGACCTTCCAGCGAGGAGCCTATCATTGCTGACAGACCGGTCGCCTTGCTGCCTTCTGCTAGAGCGAATCCACCACCTGGAAAGTAAAGTGTTAATTTAATATACCTGAGGTTATTTCTCAATGCACCTATGTGAAACACAATAGAAAATACATTGTGTCGCGCGTGGATCTCCGTTTAGACACACGAACAGTTATAACTTCCTAATTTGAATACTACATACATACTATACGGGTATACTCGACAGAATTAAACTGTCAAACACCGCGAGGACACCGGTGACCGCAACCTATTGTTCTTTAATTGTGTCTATAATGACAGTACTCAAAGGGTTAATATTCTGTCTTCTAGGTGAAGCGTCTTAGAAATGATTCAATTATTCATCTCAATAAAATTAGCCGTTAGCTGATGTACTAGTAAGTGACATAGGCTATTTTTATTTTGGAAAATTGAAACAAAACGGCTAGTATTACCACGTTGAACGCCTTGGGGTCACCGGCGAAGGACGTTAGCGTAGGATGAGGATTTGCCTGCTACAGTTTTCTATTGGCAGTCAAAGGCTTAAAATAATACTTTACTTACCCAGCAAGAAGAGAAGTCCCCACGGGATCTTTTCCTTTAGAATGTTCCAGGTCACAATACTAGGGGAAGGCTTAGATGCTGCCAATTCTTCGTCTGAAATAATATCATTATATTATTATTATTGTAATAAATGGTTTTTCTCTCTTTCTTATATCTAGTTTGTTAAACTAATTTTGGGTACTTTTCTTAATAAAAAATTAATTACTTCGACTGTTCAATACGATAAAATATTAATAAATAATCACACTTTCATTAATTGATTTTATAACCAACTTAATTTTTGTTTTTTCCTTTTTTCCAGTTAATTTTTAAGCAATAAGTACGCTGTTAAACGCAAAAAAAGGAATTCGACTAATTGTCAAATATCGTATTTCCATCGACGTGAGTTTACTTTTATCATTGCACTAGCTTCTGCCCGCGACTTCGTACGCGCAATCCCGATATTTCCCGTTACCGTTCTTGATTTTCGGTAAAAAGTAAAAAAAAAGAATTGGCTAAAAAGTATCCTATGTCCGTCTCCTGGTTCTAACCTACCTCCCCACCAATTTTTATCCAAATCGATTTAGCCATTCTTGAGTTATAAATAGTGTAACTAACACGACTTTCTTTTATATATATAGAAGAATATCAAACCTAGACAAATGTCATTGTGAGGAGAAATAAAGAAAATGTATATTCTTAGTAGTAGCACTGAGTATAGAATTGTGCCCGGTATATGACAATAGGCTCACCCCTTATTACATGACACTCATAACATAAAACTGAAAAGTGGGTGTTACGTTGTACAGTAGCATTAAGTGACGTAATGTGCAACTCTGCCTACCCCTCGGGAATAAAAGGCGTGAAACTAATGTTGAATTACTTACAAGAGGAGGAGCTGGAGAAGAACTTGAGGAAGTCGCAGCACATCGGCAGGATGAACATCAACACCACGATGAAGATTGAGGTTACACCGTCTTTTACTTTCCTGTAACGTAATATAAATATGTTTCATTATGGTTAAATTTAGATGAATTAAAGCAATAGGGATGATGACAGGGTATGAACATTAAAAATCTACTTAGTCCGTCAGTTAGATAATGAAAAAATAATAGACACGTATTTTTTATTTTGTCATATGTATAAGAACACAATACTTAGATAAAACGAATCAGGAGATTAGGAGTGGGATGTAACTACGTCATCGTACGGTACGGTAGTACGGTCATCGGAGGACATGAAGCTTGAAATGCCCCAGCATGCGAGCAGATCATTTGACAGATCTTTTACAGTTCGAGCTGTTCGACTGTGGAATGCTCTGCCACTTTCTATAAGACAAGCAGAGTCACTTGTTGCATTCAAAGCACTCGTGAAAAAGCATTATCTCTCCACGTTGTAGTTTACCATTACTATTTCTTTTCTCTCTTTGTTTTTTCTTTACTGTTGTCTATTCATTGTTCATACTATATTTTATTTATGTATTTATGCATGTATATATATAGTTTTAGGTATATATTATATATGTTGTATGTAAATATATATTATTTTGTTTAGAGAATATATATTTTACTTGTACATATAGTTTATAAGTAGATACCTGAGTACACCTAGAACAACCTCCACTTTCATACAATAGTGCTCCATTCACCCAAAGGTTGCCTGGTAGAGATCGCTTTTAGTGATAAGGCCGCCTTTGTACCCTACTATTCTTTATTATAACATTACATGTATATTCTATTAATTTAAGGTGTACAATAAAGATTATTATTATTATTATTTACATATATTTATTTAAAATTCTCCATAAATTATATTTCTAAATACTACTTACAAAATAAAAAAAAATAATATTTAAAAATATAAAAAATAGGATCCGACCAGTAGCGGGAACATGGTCCAAGCTACCGGTGGTTAGGGCTCCAGAGACAGAAACCTCCTCACGATACGTGCCGTTTCTAGGAGAACTGCCTTCTGTATCAGGCCCTTGATCCATCCACCTAACGCCAGCCTCCTGAGATGGATGTCGAGGCTTTTAGGGATTAACCCATTGGCCGACACGACTATCGGCACAATGATAGCCGAATCCACACTCCACATGTCGACAACCTCGTGAGCTAAGTCTAGATATTTTATTTGTTTATCTTTCTCAGCTTTCACGAGGTTCTCGTCATGGGGAATGGTGACATCGATTATCATCGTGCGGCGTACTTGACGGTCTATCACTACTATGTCAGGTTTATTGGCTACAATAGTCCTGTCAGTAATGATAGACCGGTCCCAGTACAATGTGATATGGTCATTTTCCAGAACTGGGTCGGGCACATACTTGTAGTACGGTACCTCAGACTCAACAAGTCGATAGTGCAAAGCAAGTTGCTGATGGATAATCTTGGCTACTTGATTATGCCTATGCAAATATTCACTGTTAGCCAAACGACCACAACCAGAAATAATATGTCTAATGGATTCACCAGGACTATGACATGCCCGACATATGTCAACCGTCCCATCCTTAATTATATATTTCCGGTAGTTATTCGTAAGGATAACTTCGTCCATAATTGCACAGACAAATCCTTCAGTTTCTCCAAAGAGATTACTGAATCGTAGCCAAGATACGGACGCTAGAAAATCTACACTGGGCCCATGAAGGGCCCGGAAGAAGCGTCCGTGGAGCTCCTTGCTATGCCATACCTCCTTGCGATCATTGACGCTCAGTACCACAGGTTTGCGCCAGTTCTCTTTTGCCAAGGATAGCGGAGTGAATCCATTGTCCACCGCTGCTACTTCTCGATGCATACCCTCGTTGACTTTCAGGAAATATTCCCTGAGGCTGCACACCTCACGGTTGTGAAGGGTCTTAGCATTTAATAAGCCTCGACCACCACACTTCCGCGGGATGTACAACCTCATGACCGACGAACGAGGGTGATGCATGCGATTTGCAGTCAGCAGGGTCCGGACTCGTCTATCCAGGGTGTCAAGTTCAGTCTGTGTCCACTTGAGTATACCAAAAGAATACATTAGGACTGGCATGACCCAACCGTTAAAGGCTCGCACCTTGTTTCCGCCTGATAAGGAACTTTTGAGTACCTTATTCAGGCGGCCAAAGAAGCGCTCCTGTAACGATTGCTTCATGTCCGGTCCATTAATGCCTAATCCTTCTGATATACCCAGGTATTTGTATGTATCGTTTGCGGAGAGTGATCTCAGTTTTGTGAAATCTGAGAGTTCTAGTCCCTCAGATTCCACAATCCCTCCTCGCTTTACATGCATGACCGCACACTTGTCTACTCCAAACTCCATTCTGATGGAACTACTAAATTTTTCAGTTATATTCAGTAGTTCCGTCAGTTGTTTCTTGTTTGGAGCAAACAATTTGAGGTCATCCATGTAAAGTAAGTGGGATATAACTAACCCCTTCTCCGCAAAGGATAGCCTAGCCCTGAATCCTCCAGTAGAGTACTTAGAGGATTCAAGGCCAAGCAGAACCATAGTGGGCTCAGGCTGTCACCCTGGAATATTCCTCGTACTATCCTTACAGGTTCTTCATTCCCTTGGATTTGTCTACATCCCGGATAGCAAAGCACGGTGCTCCACTGCCTCATACATGACTCCAAGAAGGCGCGTAAACTTGCATGTATTTTATACAACTCCAGCACCTTCAGGAGCCATGTATGTGGCACAGAATCATATGCTTTTTTATAGTCTATCCAGCATGTAGACAAATCTTTTCGGGACCGACGAACCTGTTGGCTAACAACCATATCAATGAGGAGTAGCTCCTTAGTTCCACGAGACCCCTCCCTACATCCATTTTGAGACACAGACATGATGGAATTTTGTTCAATATGTTTTGTTATTTTTGTCCTCAAAATGGATGTAAGAAGTTTATAGACCGTTGGTAAACATGTGATTGGTCTATAATTTTTAGGCTCAGTGGAACTACCTGATTTATGGAGCAGGTGGGTAACTCCTGTTGTTAGAAATTGTGGTAACGACCCAATTTCCAAAGCTGCCTGGAAGTGTAATGCTAAGCGAACGTGTGAACTCTTGAACCATTTAATCCAGAAATTGTGCAGTCCGTCCGGCCCCGGTGATTTCCAATTCGGAACCGAACAGGCTGCACTGGCTACATCAGAGGAGGTGATTTCTACCTCCTCCATCTCTGGTATAGTCTCACACCTTCGCTTAACATCACACATCCAGTCACCTTCTGTGTGGCTAACAGGTACCGACCAGATGTTGCGCCAAAATGTGTTAGTGGCATCATCATCCGGTCGCCGCCCGTCAGCCACATCTTGGTTGGATCGTTCCCAATCTCTGTATACCCACCTCTGATCTCTTTGGAACATGCGATTCTGAGTATAGCGCTCCACTCTTTTTTTGTAACGTCTAATACGGTTTGCCCATGCATAAACTTTCTGCTTCAGGAAGTCGATGCGCTCTGTAACACGTGGCAGGTATTCATGAGGACTGGTTTCAGTCCCCACAAATGCACGTCTTACAAAGCGCATCACTCTAGGGCGAGTATTGCCCTCCCTGAAACAGGATAGTTTGCCAATGAGTACCCTGGCCTCACTGATACGACGCTCTATCCTATACTGCCAGGCAGGTACTGCTGGTTTTGGTCGGACTGCTGCGTCAAGATTTGGGAATCTGACGTTAGCCACTCGACAAGCAGCTACCGCCCCACAGTACAAGATTGAGTGTGTATCATAGAGGTTTTCGCTACTCTCAAAATATTTTATTTTTATAATAACTGGCAACACCACGACGTTGACATAACGTACAAAATTTTACTCTGTTTTTATTTCGGTTTATTTTTATAAATAATTCACGTTTCCTTATACACAATATAACAATAACAAAACCTTTTTATAATAATATATACTTACTACAAAATCAACACCGACAATAGCAATAAACAAACAATAAATGAAGAAAAATGAAATTTGACAGTGACAGACTACAAAAGGAAGATGATGAAATAGAAAATTAAAATGCTACGTTGATGTTGACGAGAGCCAGGAAAGCACGTGACGCACCCCCACCACCTCCGGACTCGTCGCTCAGCTCCGCCTCGCCGTCGCCGGACCCCAGCCCCGCAGTATCACCGGTGACAGCAGTTGCGTCGAGCTCGAGCGATGACTATTTCTCCCCGCCGACGTCGCCGACACCTGTACGTCGGCCGGGGAGAGGCCGGCCACCGACGGGCTTGGGAGCCAGGGGCCAACAGGCCCCGGGACGGGTCCCCGCTACCGGTGGTTGTGTGCGGCGCATGAAATGGTCTCAAACCATAAATGAGAACGTCATGCGCTCGTACTACGGTGCTACAGAGGGAGGGACTAACCTTACTGCGTACCGTGAAAGGATGCTTTCTGTATTTCAGGTTCTTGAGCCATCTATCAACGTCTCGGCCCAACGACTGTCGGATCAGGTGCGGGTCATCCAACGCAATCGCAGATTGGATGAGGCTGCGCTTGATCGGCTACGCCTAGAAGCACTGCGCAATCGTGTCGTCCCCGCACCACCACAATCGGTGGCACAAACACCTGTAGTCTCACAATGTGTGACGCCAACCACCCCTATCGTTGGTGTGGAGGATGACAGGGTTGAACAAGTGAGTACTCAGTGCAATGAACGACTGAGGAGTGCTTTGGAGGATGCGGTTCGTGAGTATAGACTTGCTCCTAGTAATTTAAGACCTAAATTACCACGTTTGCCCATGTGTAAAAAAAATAGGGCGCTGGTGAGCGCCATAATTATTATTATTATTATTACGTCACTTTAGAGTATAAATCGTACTCAAAAGTGACTTCATGCGATATTTAAAATCAATATTTCATCGAAAATATTAGTTTCCGTATAAAAATAAAAAATACGTGTCTAATGTTTTTAAATAATCTACCAGACGGACATTAAAATACAAATTAGTCATCTAACCTCTATATTGACTTAATGGGGGAAGGCTCTATATTTCCCTTAACCGACGAGCATGCATGAAAAGACTGATAACTATTGGCGAAAGATGTATGTAAGAATCATAGAAATTGGCATTCCATAGTCTGACCCCCATGGGAGACAGTCGTGAGAAATTTTAATCTTTATATTTCTTAAATTAATTATTTAATTGGAATATTCATCACAATTAATGGGTGATTTAATAAAATTAATATAAAGTTTGAATCTAAGAAGTTTAATTCCCGCAAAGGGATCTAAACTAGTGTATCACAATCATATAATGTATACAGGTCTTACATGTTAGTGAGGAGCTCAGCCCAGCCGGGCATGAATCCAGGGCGACGGAAGATGTACAGGAACACTGCCAGGATGAACAGGAGACCTGAAGCCTGCAGAGAACATAAGAACCCGTTTACCAAGTATAAGGATAATAACAAACTTGCCTGAATACTGAAAGGCTACTGAATTTTAAGTAGCGCTTCAGTACAGTTCTGTCTCTACAAATTCTTTGTAAAATGACAGAGATGGCACAATATTTAAGTAGAACTTAAAATAGGGTAGTTGCCAGGGATTGAAAATTCAAAATCTAATTTTTTAATTTTCTTGTATAAAATTACAATACTTAGATAAAATGGAGTTAAGTTTAGGAGTGGGAGGTCGTTACGTTTAGTAACGTAGTAGTGCTACAAAATGTAACGCATTGTGACGTTACACGACATTTCAAATGTTTTAAACTAATCTACCAAACGGACATTAAAATAAAATTTGCAACTACCCAATTTTAAGTCGCGCTTAAGTATAGTTCTGTCTCTAGAAATTCTTTGTAAAATGTATATTAATTACAACAATATTTAAGTACAACTTCATTGAATAGCCTTTCAGTATTTGGTTGTTAATGTTTTTTAAATACGTTGATATATTTTAGTTCATTCTCCGTACCTTATTTTTCGCATTGTATACTTTTTCTACTTTTTTACTTAAACCCTAAGGTTGACTGGTAGAGAATGCCCTAAGGTTTTTTTATATCAATGCATATGGCATTAAGTTCCCCTGATGTGCCATTGTGTAATCAAATTGTGTACATTAAAGACTAAATAAATAAAGTGCACGAAGAGCTTCGCATCAAGCTTCCTTGTGCGTACTGCTAAAGAGTGGAATTCTTTGCCAGAGTCTGTATTTCCTGAAGGGTATAACCTGGGAGTCCTCAAGGCCCAAGTGAATAGGTTGCTTATGGGACGACGTGCTACATCGTAGACTTCATCATTGCTTACCATCAGGCGAGATAGTGGTCAAATGTCGGCACATCAAACATAATTAAAAAAAATGAATAAAATATATCGTACCGAAAATCCCCAAAATTTGTTCATACAAAAGTAGTCTCTAAACATCAGAAATAAGGTCTATAATGGAGTTAGTGGAGAGTGGTGACCGATGACCGCTTGGGGATTGAACAGTTAAATGTACATTTTTAATAATTTAATAATTTATTTATTTTCAACTTCATACAACAAGTGTGTACAGGTGGACTTAATACCTTGGGCATTGTCTCCCAGTCAACCTTTAAGCAGTGCAGCGATGAAAGTAGGTGATTTAAACCACTAATGTATTTTGCATTTTCAATAAGAAGAAATTTACCAAAGAGAAAACCTTTAGGCGAATTTATTGTTGTAGGTACTAACCTTCTCATGGAAAGTGATGGGTCCGAGGTTCCTGTACTGCTCCTTGATGACCTTCATCGTGGTCTCTGAGCCCGAGGATGCCTTGTTCACCCTTCTCGCTGCTTCGCTGTTAGGCCTGTGTGTGGAAGGTAAGGTAACCGTTAGACATTTTGTATTTGTAAAATTTTTTGGACTCCCTTCATTGGACATACCATAACATCACGCCTTTTATCCCCGAAGGGGTAGGCAGATTTGCTCATTACGGCTCTTAATGCCACTGTATAATGTAACACCCACTTTTCACTATTCATATTATGAGTCCCATGTAATAGGGGGTGAGCCTATTGCCATATACCGGGCACAATTCCGGCTACTACTGCGAATTTTTTAATAATCCAGTAGTACTTTCCCGATCCGAGAATTCGAGGTCCCGGCAGTCGCACTTGCGACCACTCAGCCAACGTGGCAGCAGTTCTCTTCATTGGAACTTTTGTAAATCATGATTTTCTTCATTATTTTTTAATGTTTTACCTACTGTACATTTAATACATTAAACTGTATTAACAATAAAGCCCTTGTTACAAGAAATTGTATGCCAACCTGAACATTCCCATGAACGTGATCTGCAGCGCGAACCAGACGAGCAGCTGCATGATGAGCATGGGGGGCGTGCTGTACGCCATGAACCAGAAGAAGTCCACCGAATTCGAGTACTCGGGGAATTCGCTGTTATAGAGAAAAATACATTTTTATATCTTATTGCTATCAGTGTTAGGGATTATTATTGTTTGAACGTGTGAGATTCAAGTTACATTTGTTTTTAAGAAGATGGTAGTAAATGTGACAATCTCACTACTTATTCATTCATTAGTTTAACGAAATGTAGTTATGCACGATTAACATTTTTATAGCTATTGAATAGAACTAATTCACTTTATAGAAGGTTTATTATGAAAACACTTAGAATCGACTTCATGTCAACTTTTTTACAAGTAGTATGTATGCAGACATGTTTAAACCATTATAAAGCAGAAATAATTGAGGTACCTAGTGTTCATCTATACATATAATAAAATCGTAGAAAAGTCAAAACTGTACATTGAATATTTGAAGAAAAGAATACTTGAGGCGTGATCTACAATCGATACCGAAGCCAAAAATATGGTTTTAAGAACTTTTGTCTGTTTATCTGTATGTATTTCTGGGATGATCTCCAAAAGTACTGCGTGGATTTACTTCAAATTTTGCATCAATATTACTAACAGGTCGTGTCAACATATAGGCTACATGTTATCACGATATCATCAGGGGGGAGGAGCTGTGAACCACAATTCAAGCAATAAGTTCTTGAATAAAAAAATACTTACGAATCGAATATTCCTTTGAAGGCGGAGTTGGTGGCAGTACCGACGAGGGTGCCGCAGCCTCCGAGCGTGGACGCGTACGCTATGCTCAGGTAGTAGCAGATTGTTATGTCACTTGGCATTGGAGCCCTGAAGAAGGAAATATAGTGTGATTAGTTCCAATTTCAAGATTGGTAAAGATATAGCTAAAGAACTTAAAGAGGAACAGATTAAACTTTTTATTGTTTTTTTTTCAGTGTCTACTCAATAGATCAATGTAATAGGGTAGAAATATTGAGATTCATATATAATTTGAATAAATAAGCTTATAGCAATCCCTTCTCACGCCATAATTATAAATTGGGATGATTCTGCTATGCTGGCTGTTACGTAGTCATGATTTTAAATAATGTGCTTACTCTTCCTCTCCAGTTTTGGCGACTGCTTTAGTCTCCTTGCCATTTTCCGCTGGCGGGTTCTTCTTCTTGTTTACATACACATCGCCTAGTCCTTGCTGTAGAAAAATTTAAATGATTAAAGATCAGTTTCTTAGAAATTTATTTCTTATAAAAGAAGGAAACTTCCTTCTTTTATAAAGAAAAGAAACATAACATAACATCACGCCTTTTTATCCCCGAAGGGGTAGGCAGAGGTGCACATTATGCCACTGTACAATGTAACACCCACTTTCACTATTATGTTATGGGTCCCATGTAATAGGGGGTGAGCCTATTGCCATATACCGGGCACATTTCCAGACTCCGTGCTACTACTGAGATTTTTTTAAAAACCCCAGTAATACTTTGCCCGACCCGGGAATCGAACCCGAGACCCCTTGCCCGGCAGTCGCACTTGCGACCACTCGGCCAACGAGGCAGTCGAGTCGAAAGAAAAGAAAATTGAACTCAATTGGTTTATAATGATTTTCGTTACAATTTTTGTTATGGTTATTACTTAACCCAGTCTTCAGCATTTTTTTGATACAAATTCGTTATTAAGGAATAGTTTAAGTAATCATCAAATGCCTTAAAGTACGGCAACTAATAAAATAAGTGACCTCACTAATATGTAAAGCGAAATATCTGAATTTTTACCTGTTCCAACACTTCTAATATGGCTTCAACGATGGGCACCATCATAGTGGTGGCGGCAGCATTCGATACCCACATCGATATGAACATGGTCACGAATGTTAGACCGAAGTTCAGCCTGGAAAGACATTGGCATTTAGCATACAACATTTACGTATGTGTCACAGTGTGGTACAGACAGAGAAGAGAGTATTTTGTCACCACTCCTGCCCTCGAGTGCTGTACGAGTTATTACAAATTTCACAGAGCAATTGCAGGTGGCACATGTTAACCGTGCTTAGCAGAGGATTTGCCTTCGACAGTTTTCTATCGACAGTCAAAGGCTTAAGGGTTTTGAGCTAACTGGACTGTTAAGGCCTGTTCTCGTCCCGAGCGTACGGCGCGCGCGCTTCTGAGAGCCATCAGACAACTACGACAACCCAATAGGGTTGACGTCGATTCGGAGCCGCGGAGAACTTAATGGGTTACCGAGGCTCCGGCTCGAAGTGCAGGAGTAGGAACGGGGTGGTTTTTAGTGAGTAAGAGTCTGACACTCTCCCGCCTTACCCAGCCATTCGATGACTTTCCCCCCAAAAAAAAAGATCTGTTCTCGTCACCCTAGTCACTGGTGCCACCAAGTAAGCACGACATTGACAAAAAGCCATTAAAAGTAAATAAACACAATACAAACCTTCTATGCGAACACCCAACCACTTGTACGGTCCACAACGCAACTCTCTTTGGTAACTTAGAATGCTGTACTCCAGCGGCTATCATCAGACCTCCCATAAACATCATATTAGTCTCCTTCATGTATGCTGCACAGGTTTTGTCTGAGTCCAGAATGCCCATCGTTGGGAACAGCACTATGGGCAACATGGAAGTTACGGGCAATGGGAGTAGCTCCAACACCCAGTATATTGCCATTATTAGGACGACATACATGCATCGGTAGGCCTGACAAAATAGAAAAAATATTATTAAATTAATTATAATGGACAAGCTATAGAAAGAATCAGTACATGGAATATTACAATGAATAGATTAGGGCTTAACTAAAAATCGCGGGGTACTAACGTGAATATAAAGAGCTGAAAAGCTCTAATAGAATAGTTCTACAGACGCTAGCCAGTAGGCTGCGCGACATCACCGCGATCACGCACGCTGCTCATGAGGAAGATCCCTACTGTGGTTTGAAACTAGTAGAGCGTTTCCCAGTATATTCACGTTAGTAACCCGCGATTTTTAGTTTATTTAGTATGTCTCATGATAGTTATTACATATACATAGATTAGGGCTGGTTCAACTGAGGAGATACTGCCATTTCACAAAATACGAGTGTGAAGTGGTGACGTAATGTTGTTGCGTTTTGACTGGTAAGTGTGAGTTTTAGTTGTAGATGACTAAACCAAAGCACTGATTATAATTAAACAGTGGTTTGGGTTGGCCATCACTTTTAGGAAGCCAAGGGAAGAGATCACTCCTTGGGAGACACCTCACTTGGCTTCCGTACGCGTTCGACGCTCTGATTGGCCCCAACCAATAAACCAACTAATCAGTGCACTGAACATGGTCTTATTTCGATTACTTTTAAAGTAAAACAAACTTGTACCTTAGTACAAGCTTCTGAAATGGTGGTGTAAATAAATACTTTCCAACATGGTCCTCAAGTCCTCACAACAACTGTATGTGAACTTGTATGTTTGTAAACGCACCCATGACACAGGAGAAAATCCTAGTGTGGGGCAACATTTTAAAAAAAAAAGAACAACTCTAATGCCTCTAGTGTCGTAAATGTTCTTAGACTATGGTGATTGCTTACCATCAAATGGCCCATAAGTTTTATTGATTATTGTCAGTAAGTACCTAGTATTAATCTGTCAAACACCAAGCGGTCACCGGTGACCGCGACCTATTGTTCTTTAATTGTGTCTATAAAACCGGTACTCGACGAGTTAAATAATATCTAACTCATACTTACAGGTGCAGAGTTCAATATAGGTATAGGCAATAGCACTAGTGGGGTAAGCACAACAATAAGTGCCTTCCAGTAGATGGACACAAACAGACTCAGTCTCTGCCATAGTGTGGCACTCGAACCAGTCTTTGGGAAGTAATATGTTGTTGCCCTGAAAAAATAAAAAAAAATATTTATTCTGATCTATGAATTCTGATCAAATAGGTACTAGGTAGTATCAGGTTTGTCTATTACATGCTATGCTGATCTATTTCTTGGACATTATGATAATGTTTTTTTTTATAACTGTAAGATATGCTTAAGTATAGTTTTCTCACTACAAATACTTTGGAAAATGACAAACATGACACAATATTTAAGTACTACTTACAACTTATTTTTTTTTTATATTTGAGTTTAAAAAATTTGAGTAGCCTTTCAATATTCGGGCGTAAGCAAGGCAATCTACACATGTTAACTTCGAAGTTCGCTATTTGAACATTGTGTCATGTTTATTTTTTTTTACTCTGTAATTAACTATTTTCGTAAATAAGTATTACACTTAAAAATTTAAATCCATTCGTAAATGGAGCCAAAATAGAAAGTTAAGATATTTAAATTTAGATTTCTATAAGTAGAAGTAATTTGCAGCTAACTACTAATTTTATTATCGCGTCGTGTTTCGTGTATGTAGGTAACGAGGTGGCCCTAGCGATTCTTCGATTACTTACTAGATTAATATAGCCCTTGTAATAGTTATTTTATTCTAATATAGACTTACCTTTCATCAGGCGCTCCGTTTTCTACTACCGCATTCGACATGATTTATTCTTTTGTAAATCTCTCCAAAATATTACAAAATATAATTAGGGTTTCACAATTTCCACATTATAGGCACCATCTGTAAACAAAATAGACGTTTGATCGATTTATTGAATTTACAAAACACTATTAAATCAATATTTCAGTTATAAACTTTACAGAAGTTGAAATTACCCGCTAAAATCGTTCAAAATTTCAAACAAGTCATGACGTGATTATTTTATCAACGCGCTATAATCCTCAATCAACGCCAATTGACAACTAATGAGTCGCTTGTGTCGTCATCGCATCTGCCTACTTGACATTTCGAATCGATTCGTACTAACTAAACGCATTTTTATCATTAATAGTACTCTCCTTTGGAATTAAGCATTTATTTGTTTATATTTTATTAAAAAATAATACAATTTTGCACCATTTTGTTATTCTACTTATAAAACATTTAGAGCTGAAAGCTGGAACAGCAACAACCTTGTGTTTATTAAAATGCTCCCAGCAAAACTAAACGCTACTTTGACGGTTAGACAATGTGACGAAAATCAATGTCAATGAGAAAATCTACTGTCAATGTCATTAAAAACCAAAACAATTGTGTTTACTTATTAGAATCTTATTACTGTTTTTCATTGTAAATAAGATAATAATTTGGGTGTATATTAAAGTTCTGAAGATTTGGATGTTACATTACTACTTATAGTGACTAAAATGGCGAAGAACCAGACTAAGGGCGAGCCAGAAGGTAAGTTTTCCGATATGTGTTAATTTTCGTATTTTGAAGTACCTATTTATTTGTTAAATACACTAATTACTAAAGTATTTGGTCATCAGACACTGAAATACCACCGCTTCACGTAGTAATTTGTATTGTTTCTGTTTTTTGCTAGTTTTACATCGGTTAATCAATTTGAGGTTAGAATTTATGATAAGTGTCTATATCTTGATAATTCTGACTTAATAGTGTATTATTTAGTACACATGAAGATACTGGCTTTAATAATGTACCTAGTCTTCGTTAAAACGAAACTGTTTTACAATAACTATAATACAAGGTCGATTGACTGTAATTGTAATTAACCGACTTCTTATAGTCAATCTATTATTGTCTTTCACATCTTGTATTCTTCATAACGTTTTAACCTGTTGAAATATCATCCCCTAAATTTGTTCATACAAAAGTAGTCTCTAAACATCAGAAATAAGGTTTATAATGTAGTTAGTGGAGAGCGGTATCTGGTGACCACTTGGAAAGAACCTTTATTTCGATTGTTGAAAACTATCGTAATATGACATATTCCATAACCAATTCCAAAAACCTTTGAACCGAACATGCATATTGTATTATAATTTAAAGTTATTTGCAAATTGATTATATATTTATAGGTATAGATGTGTGCAAAACATAATAACAACTTTCAAAGTTGTATATTGCATTTCAATTGATTGAGATTATAGAAATTTATCCAACCAATGTTATTGTGTGAGCAAACACCTATTTTGGTGCAGGTTTCTGTTCTAGGACTGTAGTATATTGTAGGTTACTTGCACAGAGATGATATTGTTAATTGAAAGGAAGTAATTGATCTAAGTGTCAGTTTTTGTGGTATTGTTAAATACCAAGACTCTGAACCATGGTTTTAGTTACTAATTTTCCTTTATCATGACAAACTATGCTATAATTACTAATTTCGAACATGACATATTTAACTCAATATTGCAAAAAATTACACTTAGGTGAATTAGCCTTTCAACTATCAATATGTACTATGGATGAGCAGTTGTGCAATTAGCTACATATATTGTTTGGTGTAGGTTCATATATCCTCTGTGTATTGTAGACTTCTGCACAGACATTTATTTGTTTTTTATAACTTCTACAATACTTACCTACCTACAATACTGTAGAAGCAATGTAATGTTAACTGTATTTTAGAAGAACATCCAAGTATGGACTAAGTAACTTCATAGTTCAATAATAGAATATTACTAGAATTGGATTAAAACAATATTATAATTATTAAGTTTCTATTCCATACAACGCATATTATGATAAGCAAAACTTTGTACCATCAACAATAATATTTACATAATCATTGATAAGTGAATTGTTGACGTTTACAGGACCTGTTGTGTTGTGTGCCACTGATGTGGTTCTTGACGTAGTTTGAAACATGTTTTTAAAAGAAACATTTTACTAAGTATTTATTCTGAGTGAAGTTGAGTGGAACATGAAAACCATTTGTTTGTCATCCTTTTGCACAGTGAATCAAGTTTTTACTTTTGTTATTAGTAGTTCCTATTGCAAGGAGTAAATTTATTACCAAATGCTGAACTTAATTCCAGATTCTATCTATAGTACCATTAATTAAAAAAAAGGAAACAGAATTTGCTTATGAGCAAAAGACAAAACATGCACTTATAAACAATGGAAAATGTCCTATCTACATATTTAAAGTTTACTTTTAACAAACTGAAATATTGCATTGATAGTCAGACTAATTTTGGGTGAATATAATTCCTGCACCAAAGGGCCACACTACAATGATGTCTTCATTAGATATAAACTACTATTACCTCATTTATTTACATTCAAAATACGTAAATACCTATTTGACCATATTAAATACATTCGGTTAACCACATCTTGCAAGTGACTCATTAGCAGACAAGGAAATCATAATAATGAAACATGTTCCTTAAACATCACTACATAGTATAAAACAAAGTCGGTATTCGCCGTCTATCTGTCCCTATATATGCTTAGATCTTAAGGTTTATATGTATAATACATGCATATTGCACCCGTGCGAAGCCGGGGCGGGTCGCTAGTAGTTACTATAGAAAATTGTTACATTGTTTAGAAGTAAAAATTCTCTATACCTAAACATAATTTAAAGAGACAATGCTATGTAACTGAATACTATTCCGCAATAGGATATAATGGAAAGTTACATTTCTCTACCTTTACTAACGAATGAATGTGCATGACTTGCAGTCCTCTCTATCTAAGAATGAAGTCACAAAGATGTAAAGTCATCAAAGAATCCTTTTAAGAAATATGTTTAATGTATGATGCATAAATGTGGTGGAAGCTAAAGAGGTCGGTATGTGAGGATCTTAGAGATAGTAAATAGGAAATGACACTATGTATTTTAACATATATAAGTGTGGTAGAACCATGCTTCGGGACGAAAGGGCTGGCTCGAGCGGAGTGATACCACTGCCTCACAGAAAACCGACGTGAAAACGCTTGTATTGTTTTTCATCGTATGAGTGAGGTTACTGGAGCCCAATTACCTTACCCCCTCCCAATCCCTTAATCCCCAACAATCCTCAAATTCCTAATCCCTGAATTCCCAACAATCCTCAAATTCCTAATCCCTAAAAGGTAACGTACTTATAACACATCTGATGTTCAGAGTGTCCATGGGCAACACCGATCGCTTACCATCAGGTGATCCGTTTGCTCGTTTACAACCTATATCATAAAAAAATACTACTATTTTATAGTAAGAATTTTATAAGAAGGTAAGGAGCATGTAGTAAAGAGATACTTTATGTATCATAATTATCAAATCATGTTTTGCTACCATTTAATTTGAAGTAATGACTGTAGCTCATATAATATTAGTTTAAATTAGAAACCCGATGTTCTCAGTTTTTTAATGAAGTTTCTTTACGTTTTTCCATAAATTTCCTTCTCGAAGACAATGTAGGATTTGTCGCCAAAAGCGTTCTACGTCTTCGTCTATTTTAACACAGTCCAGTCACTGGGGCAGTCCTGTGTATTTATAAATACTATCCGCGACAGTACAAAGTCTTAGAAATTATATTTTGTCGCAGTCTCATAAGTCACACCTGTTATTCCTTTTTATAGGAAGTAGATTCATCATCTTCAGCCTGTAATTCTCTACTCTACTGCTATTTTAGTACTAGAGGGCCTTCTCTAGATTCATAAGAAGGTTTGCCATAACCTCCCCTCGATAATTTCTTTAGATAGGTATTTTTCATTTTTATTTTACCCTTAAGCTTACTGTAACAGCCCAGCCATAAGCCACGAATGTTGTAAGCCAAGTACTAATTTGAACAAGATTTACCGAAATGGAAAAATTTTAACATTTTTCCCAGCTTAGAAACAATGCCTCATGCTACGCGGTTTCGTTTGTAGCTATGAATCAGTCTACAGTCTACTACAACGACAGTCTACAAGTCAATAGAACACATTATTGTCAACTCAATATTCCGATGAGTATTAAAGTAAATCAAGTAAGTACAACATAATAATAGTAATATTTATCAATACGATAACATGTGCCTTCCCAGACGTTTTGTCTCCATTCATATCTTTTGACTGTTTAGAATGTGATTTAAGACAGCATCAGATATAAATTCGTATAATAAGATAACAAAATTGTCAAATACAATGTTATTGTAATACTGCAGTTGTCATTATGCATCTTGTTCCTATAACTTGAGGAACTAGTGGATGAAATCCTAAACGATATAAAACGATTTTCGTTCTTTTTCATAGATATCTGCATGTTGAACTCTTTGGGCCTGTTTCATAACTCCGAATATAGTTTCTATAAGCTTAAATAACAGATTTTGTATAGAAAATAGGTAAATTCTGGCAGATAAACAAAACGATAGAACATAAACTTTGAATAATGATGATAACCTCCTCCTTTTTGGGAAGTCGGTTAAAAACTGTATAAAGAATGAAACACAAAGAGTAACACAAGAGCCTCGTTTCACCACGAGTCTTATTCCAATACTTACTGAAATTCTTTGTAATTTTCACAAAGTAAACATACTTATTCACTTTCGCGATAACAAAAGCTAAATGTCGTCACAGACTAGGAAGCTTCATCAATTTTGATTCAGCTGTCTTCCTCAACATTTATTAGGACATTTACTGTGCTCCAAATTTCATTGTTCTTCACCATATGAATGACGTCAGGATTTTATTGCTTTTTATTTTAGATGTGGCATTGATCTTGTGA